GGCCTTCTAGGCCTTTCTGGTTACGCTGTTGATTATTAAAGATCCTGATATAACTTATCTTATTGCTACATATAGGCCTAATTACTATCTTCGTTGTAATTACGATTAATTTTTAGCTTTAAGGTCAATATAATATTTATATTTTTACTTACAGATGATTCTAAGGATAAAATAAACCAACTTTCAAGTTAACAAATCATAAATAAAATTTTTAATACCATATTTGCTCTGCTTATGCTTTATATCTTTTTATCGATGTACACTGTAATCAGAAATTACTTCCTTTATCTTATAATTAATTATAAATTATAATTTTTAACTTCATCTTCGCCTTACGTCTGCAGTTTCCTATAATCAAGCTTTATCTTCATGTAATCCTAGTTAATGCTCATCTACGCCTAACTAATATAAATATATTCTGTAGACTTTACCAGAAAGTATGGCTAAGTACGAGAGCCTGACAAGTGCCTCTGCACCCTCTTCTGATATACTTTTTCTTCCCTTACTCACTTAAAAGTACATAAATTGATTTTCCAGATTTTATAATCAATATTTTATTATATAGATTCTGGAATGGATCCTTTACATGCCCGAGTTCTAGGAGTAAAACTCTGGTTATTTTTTCTTTTTCTGGTATAAAGCTGTAAAATACAGTACAGAAAATGTTGTTTATATATCGATTTATGTTACATATATAAATTGAAGAATGTATTTTTATGTTAATAAGATTTTTATACTATACAGTACAAGGTTATGTAAGGTTTCATAAAACGTTACGAAATAAGGATAAGCTTGTTCGATAAAGATAATTATATTACGCTAGAAATAAATGTTATATAAAAATAGAAAATTAGATTATTTTAAAAATATTTTGCAATATATTTAGGTTACTTTTTAATTGTGTTTAATAATATATATAAGCTATATATATATAATATTATTAACACAGGTCTTACTATATATATATTAAAACCTGTGTAAACCGGACTCGTGCGGTGCCGAATATTTTTTCTGGTTTGGCAGGTTTCCGTTTTGAACAAGTTTTACTGTATATAAATGAACTTTTGATGTATTGAACAATTTTGTTGGTCCTTGCTATTCTTTATGTAGGCTATATAGTGAACTCTTGACATAGTGAATGATTTTGCTCGGCCATGAGTTCACTTCATATTATTTTTATAGTTAAAAATACTGTATTATAAATACAGAATGGCAATTGTTAAACAGACACTACTCGAACCATCTGTAGCTCGATCTAACAACCAGAATGGCGACAAATTTGATAGGGATACTAATCAAGATATGAAAAAAGTATTCCGCGAAAAAAATTAGTTTCAAAATTCACTGATAGGGGAAAATGTAACGCTGTGCAATGCAAGAGAGGGTTAAAAACAAAAACTAAACTGAAATGTCACATCACCTTTTATTCCGTACATTCATTCCTCTGAAAATTCAATACAGTCACCGTTCTTGTGGACTAGATATTGCATCCTGTGTACAACGTTCTCTATAGCTGAACGTAACATGTCTGAAGGAATGTTTATCATAGTCCGTGATACTAACCTAAACACAGGTATTTCCCAATGAAATTCGATAATCCGTTCCTTAAAAATTCAAGCATTTTGCGAGAAAACCTGAGTATATTTTTCATTTTAAACCCCACGTTAATCCGAAATCCTCAGCCAAATTTCTGTAATAATAACTATAACACAATAGAACAACTATAACAAACTGTATACTGCATACAATAACATATAACTTTAATAACTATGTGCCATATCATAAACACTGCGTTTACGATATGGCAAGTAAAATCACACACAGAAATAACGAGCTTTTATAAACTGTAGAATTCATTTACTACCGTGTTTCCCCGAAAATAAGACAGTGTCTTATATTAATTTTTGCTGTGAAAAGTGCGCTAGGCCTTATTTTCAGGGGGAGGTCTTATTTTTCCAGGAGGAAGAATTCACATTTATTATTGAACAAAAAAATTCCCAAGTCGAACTTAGACGAGAGTGACGTATATCCGATGTGTCGAACTGTCGCCTTTTTATAGCGTCAACATCGGACTCCATGACCAATTAGTGCTTACTGAACCGTAGCACTATGCAAATGTCATGTGGCGTGATTCCCGGCCAACCAATTAGCCATCACCAGCCGTAACGTTATGCAAATCTGTGATTCCCAAGCCATAGTCTTATGCAAATCATGCCGTGTGGNTACAGTTAAAAAAAATTTGTATAGACTGGAACAAGTAATAATCTGTGTGTGCTCAATCTGGCAAATATGGTCGGTGTGATACCGTGTTTCCCCGAAAATAAGACAGTGTCTTATAGTAATTTTTGCTGTGAAAAGTGCGCTAGGTCTTATTTTCTGCGGATGTCTTATTTTCGGGGAAACACGGTAGTGACGTCACAAAAGCGTGTTTATACTTTCTATTATAGGGAGGTGTGAATGTGTGATGCCTCTTCTAGTGCCAGCAACATTCGAGACACACCCTCTATTGACACACCTAGAGTTTTACTTGTGATTCTCGCCTGTACTTCGTACAGTACATTAGTTACAAACAAATGTGTAAATACATGTTAGCACACTTCGCGTTAACATTGACAAGTAGGTGCTAAAAGGGATCAAGTTCACGAATTTTTATAACAAGTTTCATTACGTAAACAAGCGTAACATAATAACACTTAAAGGAACTGGTCAGCGTTACATAATTTAAACGAATAAGTTATAAGGATAGAAAGAAAACTATAAGACATAGTCTACATGTATTGTATTATCTCTTAATTAGTGAGATTATAATGTATTTATTAGTATAGTGTCTCAATTAATAAACATTATATTAAAGATCAATATTTTAAAAATCCGGCAACGAGTTGCATAACTTTGCCCGCGAAAAAATTTAAAATTGTGTGTGGTGCCACCTGTTATGAGATTTTATTTAAGAAACTTTTTATATTATCAGTTATTATAAAATGGCAAAAAATTTAATTTTGAGGGAAGAGATGAATTTTATGAAAAATTGTAAATGCTAATAACGAGTAAAATCTTCATTAAGTTCGATCCCACTCGAAATATGATACGTGATCTTCTTTATCTTCCTACTCCCTCGATCTTTAACCATCAAAATTTAACAGCATCAATCCCTCTAATACACAAACATCTCTGTAAAATTTCAGAAATTTTCGATAGAAGACACAGGAGTTATTAAGCTTCAAAATGAGTGAAAAAAATTATGCCCCCACACACACCAACATCCGTACATAAATTTCTCGAAGTTTCATAGTCCCGAGTCCAAAAATGTAAAAATATTGGGAAGGGTCATTCTTTTATCGATCGGCATACTTTCCCCCTGTTATATATAACAGCCAGGAATGTTAAACATTATCAGTAAATAAAATCATTATTTCTTTATTTAATGCATGTTATACGCAGCCATAAAGTAAATTTAAATAATTTAGTGTATAATAAATAAAAGGGATTTATATTTAATCTAATTTTTGTTATTTCTAAGCTTTTGAAATTGAATAAAAAGTGATAAAATTATCGAAAGTTTCATTCATCGATCATCATTAAAGAACTTTGGACATAAAGTTATAGGTCAACTTGAACTTTCACGATTATTTCCTGCACTAATTTTCTACTTTACTCGATTTTAATTCAATTAAATTGATAAATAACTTCATAAACTTATTTATAAATTAGATTTTCAGTTAATTTTACTCTAAATTTAATTATAAATTATTATATTTGCTCCTCTCTATGCTTGAGCTTACCTCAATTTGGTTTACTTCATCATACTTTAACAAGAAGTAAAGAATAACTGAGGTAAGATATGAATAAAAATATTAAATAAATAAATATTAATAAAATGCGTAAAATATCCTATAAGATAAGAAATTAATGAATAGTTTCATATATTTATTGTTATTGAGACCCGAGGAAGGTAAAGATAAGTTGGAGCCAGTCACAAATGTAGGGCCTCACCTCTCGGAAAGCCATAACAATATACAAATAGAATCGATAGAGCAAATAAAAATACAAGACGGTCTAAAAGTCGGTTAACCATTGAAAAGACTAATTTGCAATTATTGATAATTAACTAAATTAATTCGTTTATGAAATAATAAAAGAAGTAGAGAGAAAAAAAATTAATCATAAGTGACCCAAGAGACTAGAGAAAGAAGAATTCAATTATACTTTTATCATGTTTCTATTATTTTTGAAAAAAAAAAATACGTTGTAAAGTGGACCATTTTCAGCTCGTTTGAAGACTTGGCCCAATTTCTTTAGAGGCATTATATAGATCGAAAATATTTTTTAAATGAGCAACGAGATGAGGCCTGTAAAAGTGAGGCCCCTCCCTGTTCATAGCCGGATATGCCCACGCATTAATGCTATTCTAATTCTAAACTCAGTTTACCATTTATATTCACACGTGTACTCGAACACAAAACGAAACATGGTCAACTGACTTTTGAACTACCCATCAATTTTATAAGAATTTAAATTTATTACAAATCGATTTTTTTAAAATTGATTTTAATCTTACCATTTTATCTATTTACGTAAGATCCTTAAGTTACAAAGTTCTTTCAAAATCGCGTGATTCAACTTAGTTGTTGCTCTTGTAAATCTTCCAAAACTTGCGTAATTCATTGAATAATATTAACAAATCTAATTATTTTTCCATCAAAATGCTTTTGTTTATTTATTTAACGTCATTAATATTAATTACGATCATTTTTGAGTGTTCGTTTTTCTGATAAATTCGATCAACTTTAACGACGGCGCCTGTAAGTCGGCTCTCCATCCATCCTCTCCTTTATTCGGTCGTTACACTCATCCAAACATCAATGTAGTCGCTTAGCTTTGTCTGGCGAGAGGCCCACTCGCACATCACTAACTAAAAATGCCAAAACTCCACCCTAAAGCTATTTTTTTTTTCGGGAAGGAACATGTTCTAGACGAGAAAACATACAAGAACATACAAGTACATGGAAACGACTTTTATTCCAATAAAATTAGCTACAAACACATTAGATCTGTACAAAAGTTTCCAGGTGTGATACAGTTATATAGTATACACAAATATATATATATATATAAACGAAAGAAAAAATAGTAAAGAGGCAACTTTACCTTTTTGTGCGACGTTCAGTTACTATAAATCGATAAAAATTTTAAAATTAAGGTTTCTAAAATGAGAAAAATGACCTCTTTTTTAAGTGAAGGAGGTCATTTTGTTTCGATTAAAGCCAGAGAGTACGTTTAATACACTAACGATGGTGCTGTATGACCTCAATATACCTGCGAAAATACCCCTCAACAAGCCAATTTTTCGCTTCTCTAATAAATTTTCTCAGAAACTTACTGAAAACAGTAATTTACGATAACATCAACTAAATTAGGCAGTTTTTTTATGAAAAATTTCCTCACTCGTTGACATTTCTGGAGCGATTTCCAAGCGCTCAAGTGAAATGTATTGCATGTGGTCCACGACCTCATTCGATTCTTAACGTAATTACGGGACGAAAATGTTAATTATTTGATTTTAATAATTAAAAAAATATATATATATATATGAGAAGTTTAGCTCTAAAATATCTTTAAAACGTTGATTATTTTTTTACCTGATCTTTCTTGAACACTTTTGAAAATGGGTTGCCCATTAAAGTAGACCCCCCGTTTGATTTTTAATTTGAAAAATAGTTAATTAACTAGAAATATAAATATCAAAAAACATATAAAAAGTATTCCAAAGCTTTAAAAGCACAGCATATAAATTTTAAGAGTATACAAATACGGTTAATAGTTCATACACAATACATAATTTAAGTACAGTACATCGAATAGAACATTGAAATTCGTTGGTTACATACAACTCACAGCTGAAATTTTATCATTTTTGCGCTTTCTTACAAGTGAAAAACATACAAATTGCATGTTTTTGATGGAAGCTATATGAAAAAAAATGGACGAATGTGTGTAATTTGTAAACATTCTAAACATTTTAGAGTAAAATACATGGAACTATTTTGTCATTTTTTACAACAGAAAAAATATTTATTATAAAATATTAAGACGTTTTAATAATAATGCAACATTAATGCAATTTCAAGAATAAGATTAAGATATTTTTTGATCTATGCTTTATGTAAAATATGTATTTTTAACCGACTCGATAGGCTCGGAATGAGAAGAAAGCACTCAGAAAGTATAACGCAGCATTGATCAATCCAAGAACCTAAAAGATGAGAATTTCTGTCAATAAAAATATGAAAAATTTCGAGAAAAAATCGATAAATTTCAAGATTTACTTACAGCAGCAGCCATTTTTCCTTCGTAACCGTATTCTTTTCTATAATAACGTGAATCGTTTCTTCTAGATACGACAATCAAAAGAGCTAAACCGGCGCTCAAGTAGAAGATGAAAGCAAAAACATGGTACACAAATTCCTGAAAACACAAGTAAAAAATGTAAATTAACTTCTTTTAAATTAATTTAAAGAGGATTAATCCCGAAGCGGGTTATGGACCATACGAAGTTGGGTACTTTGCATAACCATGAATCCAATCGCGTGTACAATAATGTGTTATTAATTAATAATTCGTATGTAATACTTACAAATAATGTCTTAGGTAAGACTGAAGAAGTCATCAAGGAACACATAGATGTCAGGAGGAGGACAAAAGTGGTCAGAAGGAATCCAAAACTGACCAGAAACATAAGAGTTTCTTCGGATCCTCCATAGAAACCAGTGTAAGAGCTCCTTTGGTAATGAGTTCCATAGTAACCGATAAGTCCGAGAATAACTGCTCCGATTATCTGTAAAAAATTAAAAATATTTATTGTAATAAAATCTTGTAAGTGAATATTTTAACAGGTGCAACATATTTGACAGGTGCAAAATTCGTTTTTTTAAACTGGTGATGCGCAACTTCCGGTTTTAAATGAACTCGCCCGGTAGACCTTTGTTTCCGGTTGAAAATGCTGCCAAAAAAGACGAAGTTTACGACAGTACTTTCTACTTTTAAACATATGTCGTTTCAAATTTCGAATATCAAGTTAAGTTCCCTTACAGTCAATGACCCTCTCTTCTACTTAAATTTTTCGGTTCTATTTTAATTAGTAAAATAAATAACGCCGTGTAATTTATTAATCTTGATAATTTTAGCATTTCTTACAATTTTACAATTGTTTATCGTTAATGTGTACGCGTACGGAACTATTACGGGCGTGTCTTTTGATATAGTCGCGTGTACGCGAACGGACGTTCCCATAGCGTTGTCGCGCGCGAAAATCCAAATAATTTCCTAAATCGGTTTTTTAACTCGAAAAATAAAACAGATTTGTTTTAAAACTCGAAATAGACAAGAAAACAGCTAGCGCTTTCCTGTTATTATTAGTATACGGTCATAGAACAGTTACGTAATACGGGTGCGACGTATCTACGCGACGGTCGCGACCATTCGCGCCGGCGCGAGTGTAACATAACGACAATTTAAGCAAAATTCTTCCCCCCGAATAAAAATGAAGAAGAAAAACTGTTTTATGTAAAAAATGAGAAGAGAAAGAGTGACGTCACGGTGACATCACTACTTCATCTAGAAAAATAACAAGTAGACGTAGGATGTAAAGGAAGACAAGTGACCATAGCTTTGACGTCAGCGATTCGAATTTCCGTTTTGGGAATTAAAATAAACAGAAGAAAGAAGGGTAGTCGAATAATAAATTATCGTGTCTGAGTGACTAAATCCATAGAAATTTAATATAAAATCGTGTTTACATTATCCTGACATCATCGAGATAAGTTTTTTCTTGAAGAAGATTTAGTAATGGATGAGATTCGAAGTGCCATATGCTCTTACAGCACTTTAAAATCAGTACAAAGGATCAAGGATTACTCTACGGGAGAAAGCACGTTTAGGATGATAATTTAGGGCGAACATAACCGAATACATCTGATATATTTTTAAACGGGATATAATTTAAACGTTTTAAATTATAATTTACACAAAAATGATCAGTCAATTTGAAGAATCGACGTAGTTTTTACCCTGTTACACCTGTCAAATTTCGGTCAGAACTACGCCCAAGTGTCCTATTTTCGCCTTTATCCATGTTAGGCAACCATTACGTTCACCCACACTGTAATAGTGCACCGTTCGTCACGTGACGAAGTCACGTGCGATTGTCAAACACTTTAATGAAAAAAAAGGGAGGGAAATAATACTAAATACATCTTCGCGTGTTCTATAGACTAAAATTAAAATCGATAAGCAGTTACTCGAACAGGTGAGCGGTATTTTATGAATGTATAAGGGTGACACTTACTGTTTCGAAGAGTTTTAATATCCCATTCCACGTTCTGATGAATCCTGTGTTAACGATAATTGCTGATGTAGATGCAGTAGTTGTTGTTGTTCTAACTGTTACTGTGTGAGACATTGCTCTTGGTGTTATTCGTGTTAAACTCTTCTTACTTACTACACCACTGTTCTACTTCTCGCTTGGTAGACGTTCACCCACGCTACTGCCTGCTTGGATTTCTACACCACGATGACTTCACCCTCGGTCACGTGACCCGCTCCAATCGACCTGCGCTTCCTTCCATTAGAATCACTCCAAACTGATTTTGAAATTACATGGCTTCAATTTAATTAATTATTTAAACTTTTGATAGAATCGACAAGAAAATCTGTTTATATTTATTACAGATCTTTTCTATTTTTCCATTATCATATTGTTAAAGGGAAGGTGTCGTTAAAGTCTTAAAATCTTGCCCATTTCTTGGGCTTGGGAGTGGCGAAATAGGCCCGAGAAGGTCATAAATAGAGGAAAGACACGATTTGCAAAGTAGCTACAGTTTAAGGCCTTCATTTTAAGTCTATAGCTTAGGGCCTCGCGATTTTACACGTATTGTTATTTGGTGGAGGGGAGGGCCTCTTATATGTCATAACTTAGGGTCACGACAAATGTAAAGAATGTAGGGTCACTTCTCTCCGAAAGGCATAAAAAATATATGAATAAAAATCGATAAAATTAATAAAAATAAGATATTTTTCATTATTTTTATCAAAACAAATTTTAATTTATACTGCTTTTGTATCACGTTTTTACATAAAAGACAAAATTTTGGGGCAATTTCTCAGGACCGTTATATGTTAAACAAGCGCGGCTCATCTCAAGGTTTAATTTTATTATTATTTGATAGAAGGGAAGGGTCTCTTATGTGTTATAACTTAGGGTTACATCCAGTTTAATTTAAATACGACTGGCATGGGTCAAATGGCCCATTATCTAATATCCTCATTTCTCAATGGCATATTATAGATGGGGCCAGATAAATTTGAATTAGATGGCCCCATATACAGTGTTAACTTCAGACATTTTTCTTCGGTAAAATTTCTGGGAAATTATTTTCTTATAAAAGATTGGTTTGGGAAAACCAATCTTTTATAAGAATGCCCTACCAGCAGAAAACCCGCTTTTAATGCCCTACCAGCAGAAAACCCAAACTACTCTTTTTTTGCCATTTCTTTCGTCTTTATTATGTGTAGAAAGGCTTATATTTTGCAATTTTTTTCGGTTTTTGCTGCTTTCCTCAAAATTTTATTATTATTATTATTGAGAATAAAAATGAACAAATTTTGCATGTTTTTTAAATTATTTCTATTGGAAACCATATGAAAAAGTCAAACTAAAAATTCATTTCCTGCAACTACTGTAATGTAAAAATTATTGTTAAAATTATTTCCTGAGATCATAAATGATGATTTCGTATATTTAAATATAAACATGAACTTAAATATTTAAAAATAAAAAAGTAATAGTCATCAGACTCAGCTAGATAAGTAGTCAGTAGGGCCATCTGGCACGGATATCCGGACACAGAAGGGCTCCAAATTTAATATTTTATACAAAGACATGATATATTAAAGTAAACTACGTTTCTACGGCTTCAGAGAGGATATGACTGGACAAGTGTTAGGGCCTGAGAAAGGCCCTAACACTTGTCCAGCCATATCCTGANAAGCCCTAAAAGTGTGAGGCCTTAAGGCCTCACACTTTTAGGGCCCTACCAGCAGAAAACCCAAACTACTCTTTTTTTGCCATTTCTTTCGTCTTTATTATGTGTAGAAAGGCTTATATTTTGCAAATTTTTTCGGTTTTTGCTGCTTTCCTCAAAATTTTATTATTATTATTATTGAGAATAAAAATGAACAAATTTTGCATGTATCAGAAACCCTAAAAGTGTGAGGCTTTAAGGCCTTACACTTTTAGGGTTTCTGATACAGGCCTTAGGGCCTCTGAGAGTGTGCACTTAAAATCAGACGTGTTCGTCACGAGTGGGAAAGTGTCTATCACATTCAGTGTCTGTATAACAGTGCGAACACTTGTCTACGTATGAAAAATTTTAAAATAACCCCTTATAAATTTATATAAAAGGAGACTCGTAGGTTCGATTTTGTTTTTGGATCTCGCACAACCTAAAACTGTAAACTCAAAACATGTTTTTATTTTAGAAAGATCCGGATTCAAAAGTAGAGCACGTGTATACGAGCTGATACGTAGGATCGATTGTATTGATTCGTAACCTATTAACTAACTGTTCCATTTATTTATTATTAAACACTATTTTTATGGAAGGGCACCTTAGTGACACCTCAATTTTGCCTATTATGGACGAGTCCGACTTACAATGAGGTCGTTCAATACAGGAAGAGAGCTAGAACTATCCATGAGAATGAAGATCGGGATTGAATTGGAATTAACAGCGAAAAAAGGATGCTTAATATACTTGATCATCCCACAAGAAGAAAAGTAATTTGGTGGATCTCAAGCAGGTTTCAAACTTGAGATTATAATGACATCTTAACAAAAATATCGATTTCCGTTGTTAAGTTATATAAGGATCGCTTTGAGGTGTAAGCAATGCAAGTTTCAGTCTTTCATTGGTTATATTCAATGGTTATAGCTGTCGTACTGTACAATGTAAATATGAATTGAACAATGATGTCTTAATCCAACGTTTGTATGCTTAATTTACAAAGAGCATATATATGCGCTCTTTAGTAAATTAAGCATGTAAGCGTTGGTATGTGTCAGCATACAAGCGATCAGAAAGTTTTCCAGGGAAGCAAACCTTGAAAATAATTACTTCAATAAATTTTTATTTAATTATTTAATTTTGGTTTTTTTTTTAAAGACAGTCAAAGCGTTCCATGTAGGTTACGTATAATATGTGGATTTTTTTACTCGATTCCAGGGAGGGGGCAAGTGTCCCGTTTGCCATCGTCTGCGTAGGCCCATGAAAGCGATGGTATACAGTATATATATATATATTATATACTATATTACAAATACGTATTTGCTAAATTATGTTTTGTTTCTTGAACTTGAGGTGGTATTACTTCCATTAGTATAATTTTTATTATTAATTCATTAAAGCATAGACCCTGTTATATGTATGTTTGTGGTGTATTCTGTAAATAAAATCTTGTATCAAATAATTTTTTCCTCTCATTTGAATAATGAATCATTTTATCCATCCTTATCCCTTTTCTACTTCCTCTTGATTCGCCTTTCCTCTTTCAAAGAATATGGGCGCTGTCACTTCCTCGCGCACCCAAAGAGCATCCACTAATAGAAACGACAAATTTTAACCTTGTTTATATTTAATTTTCGACTGCAATCGATATTGAATAAGACCCTCAACGTCTTAAACGATCCTGTCATTATCTAAAACAATATTATATTTTACTCTTTCTGTAGACACATTGGATCTATCTTAGACCCTTCTTAGAGGGGTCTAAGATGGATCCAAGGGCAATGGATCTGAAAATTGGAAGTAATTTATTTAAAATTTTGCACTTAAATATATTATAAATGGTTTAAGTTATAACCTTTATATACAGAAAAATGATTTCATTACACGTAACATTATCAGTTCTTATTTCTGAAGAAATTAACTACTTAATATACTCAACTTCTCTCTTTCTAGAACTCGTTCTTTCCTATTTTATTTTAAAAAACAAAATATTTAATATCTAACTTTACAAAATAGCCAGTTTTCTTCAATCTGCTTACACTTATTAGCATGTAGTTTGTGTATTTTTAGATGAGTTATTGAAGTGCTGACTAATCCGTATCAGGCCGATTGCTTATCTTTTTTTGCAGATTCCTGAAGAGTTTTTTTACATTTTACACTACTGTATATAACATACATATTTTAAAACATTTTGAAAAATGAGATTTATCTCCGTTTTGAATAGATACAATAAAAGAAAACACAAATGTTAACCTGTATGAATAATTACAGTCCTGAAAAAGGATAAAGGAATTTAAAATTCAACACATTTTTTTACTTATAGGCTTACTTTTTTTACTTATACCAGCTTCTACAGCCGGTAATTAAAGTAACATCTACCTGTTTTAAGGATCCGCATACTGATAAGATCTTTATAATTACAGTATAAAGTATGAATTATTCCTAGTTGTAATATTTTACGTCACATTCGGATAGGATTACACTTACGACATTTCCAATAAGTAGGCGTAAATGCATCAATATTTAATGTAGATAAATAATTTTGTTTCATAATGATTGAAATACTATTTTAAACAACTTGGAGAACTTTATCTATCAATTGTTAACATTATTATGATAAAATGATATATTGTTTCTTCACACAACTTCACAAATTTTCCCCAAGTATCCGTTTCTTTTGATTGCAGGTGTAGTTTTGGAGTCAGGAGTTTTTTAAGATTGATAGGAATTATAATTTTTGTTTCATTTACATTAAAAAGAAGAGTAATTTTATGTAAATATTATGATTATAACTGTAAATTTTCAAATAATATAATGACAGTAAAATATTCTCGACTAGCTGACGTTGAAATTTCCTGTTGTTTTAGCATTAATATAACCTTTCGAGAGCTTCAGGGAAATGAGTTGGCTATTATTTTACTGCCTTTTTATATTTATCGGCTGTCCGTTACGTTGTATTTTTACACACGATTTTGTTAACGAAAAATTAATTATTTTCATACTTATTTCTATCATAATTTTATACAAAATACGCTGAATTCGGAAGAAATATTGAATAAGAAATGATTTTATAATCATTTTTATATAGCTTAAGTTAAATTTATAAAAGTATTAAAATATTTTATGTAAATTTTAATTTTATATACATACAAATAACCATGTTATAGATACATAATAATAATAAAATAATAAAGTTATTCGATTTTTTATACGGAAAGAAGACGAAAATAAATTTCGAACGACGCATCTTAGAAAATTGCTTCACAAAATAATTTTCTAAATTGAAATAAATCAAATTATCAAGCGAAAATATACTATATTTAGCAATTTTTAAGGTAAATGTGCCAAAAGGAGAGGAGTAAAATAAAATTTTTAATAACATATTTATAAACATTTTATTAAGAAACTTTACTATGATATAAAAATTTAAGTCTACTCTGACATAGAAATTTTTTCTTTATTTAAAAGAATAATACAATAAAATATGTGAAATTTTGAGGCCTTACTTCTCTCCGAAACTCATAAAAGCATATTTTATAAATCTAAAGGGCCTCAGTGTTTCCATAAAATATATAAAACGTATCTTTAAGAATTTCGGAGAGAGGTGAGGCTCCAAAATTGTAAATGATCGCAGCCCGTCTTTTCCCTAAAGCCCCTAAAATTTCTAAATATATATATATATAAATTTTAGGAGTCTCATTCTATTGGGGCCCCCAATTAAATTAATTAATTTATATAAATATATAGAAGTAAACAAAATTTATATTGAGTTAATCTTTTAATTTCTCTTTCAATATATTTTATCTACAGATATTTACTATTTTTATAATAAAATCATTAAAATCTGTTGTAACATACCGTTTAATGATCCCATATCTTATCGCAAGGCGAATAAATTTAAAATTACAATAAAACCTCTGAACAATGGCCACAGACGGAAACATAAAAAAATGGTCGTTGTTCGGAGGTGGATCGTTATTTGAAGGTTATTTTGTGAAAACTTTAATATTTCTTCGATGTTTTATCGAGCTTTTTGGGAATCGCAACCTACTTATTGAGTAATAGTAACACATAAATTATATACAACTTCTATTCAACCTTTATATGCATATTATTTCAGAAATTTTGTATTAATTTAAAAATATATAGGCCTATATATATATTAAATGGGGATTGCAGAATTTTATGTAAATATAAACTTTGAAAGAAAGCAATTCTAAAGATTAAAGAGCTTAATTCTTGTTTAAATTTTAATCTTCAGATAATTTCCACTTTTATTTTATTTAATAATGAATAAAGCTATTTAGATTTATCTTAATAATTTAATATTTAAATGTTAAAAAATTAATTTTAGTTGTTTAGTAATTGACTTATTACTGATTAAAGCCTGAGATGGGCGAAATGAAGCCCGAATCAATTATAAATGTTGGTTCCCACCTCTCTCTGAAAGACAAAAAGATATGAATAAAATAAATTTTTCAAAAGAAATTTTGATTTAGATTTCATTTATTTACATTAAAAAAAAAACTAAATTTTTGGACCCTCGATGGCGGGGGCTCGAACCAAATGCCCTGTTGAATTTCATCCATCCATCTGAATGGAATTAATGGAATAAGATAATGCAACATTTGGGCCCTCTGCCAAAAGGGGTTGGAAACTGACCCCTATTTAGGTGCCAGTCACGTGAAGAAAAACGCGTGACTAGTAACGCTAGTGAGGTGTGAACCCTCGATCAGTTACTTCAGTAGTTTATCCATTCGGTCTAGTGTGTTTCATTCTCTCAATCTTATAATTACTCCTAACAATTAAAAACGAGAATAAAAGGTAAACAAATTTATATAAATTATTATAAAAATTCATTATACATCAACTAAACTTAAGTTTAACAGAAAATTTCATTCTTACTTCGAAAAATATAATCACATGATCGGAAATGAACCCACGCAAAAAAATTATAATAATGTTGCAGATGTTAGTCAACTTCCTCTGGTTTCAATGCAGTTTCTTTATATTTAGACCGCTGTTCGGCTTAATTTTACTTGAAATTAAACTAAAATTTTAGTAAATATATTAAAATATTAGCTAAATTTTTATAAATTACTACTGGAAAAATAATTTTTCTGTATTTTACAAAGGTGGATGACACTGTAACACTGTAAACTTAAAAAATATATCAAAATTTATTTTTTAAAATAAAATTAATAATAAACTGTACAAAGTTCTTCGGCCAGACAAACATCTGATTAATATTATATTACAATTGGGAATTTCATACGCATGTTGCATTTATGTGAGTGAATGTTAACAATATAAATTTTTATCAGAAATTCTTCAGAACCAAGGCCGTGGAAAGAAGGAAAAACTGGGGATATTTCTTCAGGCCTAGAGAGAATTTAGAGGCCCTTAGCGGTTCTTTTTACTAGTAGAAGAGATCGTTCTAACTCAGGCCCTGTTCAGGGCCTGTACACATCTGAAGATCCTATCTGGTAAAATTTCAAAAGATTGACAGTTTTAGGCATTGTCAATCTAACTTTTGTTTAAGGCCACGCGCTTCAGGGCCTCAAACACTTACTAATATATACTATATTTGTCGATAGTACTTCTTAGTCTTATGTTCGAAATCCAGTATTATTTAGGATTCTACAACCTCAAGGAACAATAATGTGATCTGAATCTTACATTATATAAATTTGTATAAAAGGGCCTTTCAAGTCTACATTTACCCAGGCCTTGAAATATCAAATCACAATGGTTTAGAAACAATTTTTGAAATTTTGAACAATAAAGTTATTTAAATTAAAGTACTCCTATTCAGCGTTGTCTAGGGAGATATTTAGCGGTCCAAATGTGACAAAATTTGGCACGGTGACATTTCAGGACATGCGGAAGATATTACCAAATTCACCACTACGGCACTTTTAGCGTTGCAAGCAACAAACATTTAGTTGTACAGGAGACTTCAGCGATGCAAACACTGTTCAATATAGCCATCATTACGAAGGTGTAACAGTATAAAAATCATACTCTTTAAGATCACGAGGCTACCAGCATCAAAAGCGCTATAGTGGCGAGCTTTGGTACTAATTAATTTTTACACGGTCTTTCGCGTATCCCGAAATGCCACCAAACTAGATTTAGTTGCATTTGGGCTGCTAAATAATTATAATTTCATATATTTTTATTAAAAATTTATTTAATATTCAAAGAAATATTTACAAATTTGACTACACATCAGACGTTATTTATTATATAAAAATATTGCTTATGAAATTTATTTTCACATTTTGTAAAAAATATTTTTATTGTTTTCTATCGTTTAAAATAAAATAATAATAATTTAAGGATATAGAATATCCTTTAAATCATTATTATCATCGCATTACGTATTATTTATTATTATTTAGCAGTCTATACGTATACGTATATAGGCCTATATGTATATATACGCTGGATACACGAATCAATATGGAAGCATTATGAAAATTGGCACCAAAGATGTGGTTTGCTGATCACCTTGAACACGAATGAGTAAACTTTAGCGAAATTTATATCAGTGCTGATGTCATAATCATCGTCACACAATGTCGGAAGTAACGTCATCTTTGCATTCTCTCGCGAGTCATGTTTTGCATATATATCAATGTCAGATGAAGCAAACATTTTAGAAACGAACCCGCGATTTTTTAACATTTTTTTTCAACTTTCCGGCTTTATCTTAATCAAAATTTGATAGAAACGTATATATATTAAGCCCGTAAAGAGGTTCTGAAAGTTTCAAAAGTCTGTCTCAAACGGTCTCCGAGATATTCGCCAAAGACGAAGAACGGACAGACATAAGCTATTGTTTTAAACGTTAAAAAAACCCTTTAATAAATTTATGTATTTTTGCAGCTGTGACGAGTCTATTTAATAATATTTTTGTACGAAACGTGATGGAGTTATAAATATCTTTTACGATGTCGATGACCCATTAAACTAATATAATGATAATTATTAGATGACTTTTGTCTGTCTCTGTAAATTAACACTGATCATAAAATTATTGATCGTCCTAATTAATTTTTCTTCTAGGAATTGTTTATTAGATTTTACTTTTTCGGTTACCATAATTGCGTTTATTTATGAATTTTAGGGGAAGTAAATACGTGTATTACGGTTATAAAGCTAGATTTTGAGGTCTTATCTAGAAATTCCAAGTTCTTATGAGGTCCATTTTGAATTTTAAAGGTGTTAATTCCCGCTTACTCTCGACACAGTGTCAAAGGACCGGCTAAATCATTCGCTATATCGAGTCTAGTGTATTAAATTGTACGAATTAACCCCCTCTAAAGTGTAGAATTACTAAATTAATTCTATATAAGTAATTATAGAATTAATTCGTATTTAGATTTGGGTATTTCCTCTCGATTAATAGAAGAAAACTTTCTACGTATGAATTTCAAATCATAAAGCTAATAATTTGAATATTAAATTTTAGATTTTATATGCTATTTTAAAAAGTAGTTTAAATTCTATATTGTTTTTTTCTATATTTTAAAGAATGTTAACTCTATCCACTAACGAATGAATTAAATTTACAGAAAAAATACTCCTCCAATCCATGGGATTATTACCATAGATTCAGACATACCTATTCTCATAGAAACGAATTTGTTATTTAAAAATATAATTAGAACGATAATAATTAAACTCATAGATAGAAATATCTACGAGTTAAATAAACAAACGCACAGTACTTCATTTATTATAATTCAAAAAGTTATAAGAGTAATCCCATAATCTAGAAGATTCTTTTTTTCTCCTATTGAGTGTTAACCAGTGGCGCGTTATCCTATGGGCGAAAAGGGCAATTGGTTTGTGGACCCTTATTGATGGGGCCCCAACTAATATTTTATAAGAAAATATCTCCCCTAAAAAATTCCTCTGAAGAAAAGGGCTTGAAGTCAATACTGTATATGGTGTTCCCCAATTCAAATTCACCTGGGCCCCACGAATCTATAACGCGCTACTGGTGTTGATTACAGTTTATCCACCCTCCCCACTCTCTGATTATTTGATTTTCCAACCTACCCCTACAGTTTTCTACTTCAACATGTATCCATATGTACTGTACAGTACATGTACAGTACTTTTCTAACCTATCAGTTCAACTCTTCCCGCTCCACACCTGGCATACAACAGTGTTAACGCCTCCAAAGGGTGGGTTTCTAAGATTGAGAAACATTAGTGTAGAAGGTTATTTAATTACTCCAACACGTTAAATTGTAAGTTAACTTCAACAAAACATACGAAATTATTTCTACAACACGAGAATCGAGCATAAGAATTTAATTAAAAATTGGATTATATCGAGTAGTGTGTATCCTATTTAAAACAAAAAGTAAAAATCAAATAAAAGAGAATTTAATATAACGGAACAGGAAAAAAAAAATTTTAAACGAAAACAGCTTCTTATGATTTCATTACATCTTTTCTTAATTAAATGATCATAACCGTTGCCGTTGCTCAACTACCAAAATATTTACAATGTGCGACGTGGGCAGAGATTTTTCTCTTTATGACGTCACACTTCGGTACGTAGTGTTCGGTTTAAAATCCGATAGAGTGAAGCGATTCGTGGCGAGTCGAAGAAAAATTCTGAAAAATGCCACACACGGTTACGGTTCGTACTACCACGACTGCCACAACTGGAACTTTCAATGCCGGATTTTTAAAATCATGGCCCGGAATATTGAAATTACTCGAAACGGTAAGTTAAAATCATTTCAATACATTCGTAAATTCAATATTTCAATATATTCTTAGGTAATGTTGGATGCGTTTCGCTGCTAATTAGTGTGTTTTTAATGAATTTTAATGATAAATTTTTACTTTAGTGATAATATAATATTGTTATATATCAATTTACTTGATAGAGTTTAAATATATTAAAATAAAATTTCATTATTTACCGCAACCTTTTTGAACTAGTGGCACACTTGTAAATTTTAGTGGTACACAAATGAGCCAGTCTTACATGCATAAACAAAATGCGATGGTGAAATCTGCATTATTTAAATGTGAAAAATATATTTAAAAAAGCAGAAATAATTTACTATTTTTTAAAATTTTCTTTTGAAATTTTATCATATTCCTATGAGAATTTCGTGGCACACCGATTGTGAACCACTAATCTACCGTAAAACCACTGTATCCGATATTAGAAAGGACCCGATTACAACATGCAAAACCTATATTCACCCTTATAACACTCTGGATCTAGCCACTAACCTATGGGTCAAGAAAAACTATGTACACATGTAATTTTTCCGTGTACTTATTTATTTTATTTTTTAATTAATTTATTTACAAAAGTAAGAGGTCCGAATCCCTCTCTGCTTACGCTACTGCAGACAGTTAAATCTTCTCTTCATCATCCTACGAAACATTCTGCTTCAGAAAACTCGAAAATAAAGTCAGTTTTGTAGTATATTTCATAGAAAACTCTCGTGTTAAAATTATACAAGCCCACATTCTCTATATTTAGAGATGATAGAACATTACAGTAGTTCCTTTTATTATGATGATTCACAACATTTTGCAAGTGAAACGTCAAAATTTAATATATTTTTAGCTCTTTAAGAACGGAAGAAAACACTACTTTAGACTTTTTTTCGGTCGCGGTTCCAAAATGGATGACTTTTTCGAAACTTTAATTTTCATTAACGACTTTTGAACACAGCATTAATTAGTTACAGTAGAATTCCCGTCAGAATTGAAGTTTATCGAGTAATGCTCGAACGATTTTCACGGAAATAATCATATCCTGTCGACTGCAAATTTTAATTATTCTATTCAAACGTTTAAACAAAAAGAAAAGAAAATTCAGACAATTGCAATTTACTTTTCTTCCAGAATTTCGCCAACCAAGTGCAAGACACGAACAATGGAATATTTCTAATTAATTAATTGTTATGGGTGTATTTGTAGTATCGTATGTTACACGCGTTCCTTCAAAATCGAACACGTGAGCAAAATGTAGGACATGTTTACCGTATTTTTAGGTCATAAACTTACTTTTAGTTCCTGTAAGATGATAGAGGTGAAGATAACAAGGTTTATACCTGACGTTTACGTTATAATAAAGATAAATGATGATAGATGTTGAGTGATGACGTCACTTATGAGTAACTATAATACACCAAAAGCATTTTAACTCGAGTAAATATAGACTAATTCTAATCCATAAATTTACACACTTTTTGAATAACGTATTTGTGTGTTTAGTAGTGTTAATTTCCGCTCGATTTTAACGCCATCTGTAGTCCTAAATAGCAAATGATAGTTCTTTTATAATTAAATTTTTGGTGTTTCAAGTGTCATACTTAAAATAATTTAAATAAGTACATAATTTGTTAATATACTTAATATATTAAGAATTTTATTATTATATATATATATATATAAATATGTATATATATATATATATATATTAATAAGTTCTGGTGTAAAGGAGGTTTTGTTCATTTTATAGGATTTCTATACTCCAAAGGGTTCAAGTATTCGACGAATTTTGTCATTTTATACTTAATTATTTTATGTATAGATGTTTTTTGAAATTTTTTTAAAATTAAATTTACATATTTATTTTCGAAGTGAAGCTAATATTCGCTGCATTTGAACATAATTAAATGTGAAAATAATACTTAAACCCTGGCACACTTTCCTCGAAGGTGAGTCAAAATTGAATTGGAAGTTCTGTCACTACAAATGGCGGGTCAAACACTTAATTTAATTAAGAAAAACCAAGATTATGTTCTTAAATATACAACCAAGACAAACCTCAAAGAAATGGGGCTGCACACCTGAGAAATTGTTAAAAGAAAACATCTTTAACATGAAAACTTATTAAATAATTCGAAATTTTTCTTATATTTTTTAGGTGATTGGGGCTGTTGTTTTGGGTCTCGTAGCCTATTATGGAACCCATTTTAATACTCATTCCATAGATGGTTTTGGAGCTAAATCGGAACATACTTACCTTTTCCTGGTTTCATTCGGATGTCTTCTACCCACCCTTCTCCTCCTGGTTACTTCCGTATCTTCGGTGATGTCATCAACCCTTATACCAAAAACTCTTTTCGTAAGTGATGCCATGAAAAATTCTTAAAATTCTGTTACGTAGAATTATAATTATATGATTATTTTAGGAAGTGGTCTTCAACGTATTTGCATTCCTGCTTTATCTAAGTGCCGGTTTGGCATTGCTGATTGTTTTAATTAAACAGAAGCATCATTACCTGAAAGATGCTGAACACGATGGCAAAATCGCAGCTTCGGTATGTTTAATAAACAATATTTTTCAAAATTTCATCATCTTTAAGCATTATACTAAGAACCTAGCTTGATTACTACATTATTTTATATGATAAAAAAATTAATAAATATTAACTTTTATGTTATTTCCTTAGGTATTGGGCTTGATAAATGCGGTTTTATACGCCACAAGCACTTCGTTTTCGTATAAAGCTTACAAGAATACTTGCAGTTAACCGTTTACAGAAGTACAAAAATTATGTTTAACGATTTATAAAGTTCGTATAGCTTCGAAGTAATGTAATTTGGCTTATATACGCCGCATATAAAGGAATATTGTAAAAAAACCAGGAAGCAATAACAATTTTTAATATATTTTTTGTAATCTTTATTAAAGTATCATCAGAAAGGATGTATTTATGATATTTTTTTTCTAATGAATAAAGTGTTTTGATGTTATGTAAAACATTTAGTTCCTATTTAGGTTAAATACCTTATTTATTGGTAATTCTGATTAAGCGTTTACATTTTATCCCTATCTAAACATTATTAAATCTTGAATGAAGTAAACATAAAGTTAATTCTAATAAAATGCTACTAAATATTATCAAAATAATAGAAAAATTTTATATCCGATTACGTACAGATAAATATATCAGTAAGTGTTTTTATCAGTACTGATAAAAACACTGGTGTTAAATACAGTTATTTTTTATTTAATAAAATCGTATTTTTAATTTAAATCTTAATTATATAATTATATAATATTAATATATGAATTCGTTAATAAAAACTTTAGCTTTCCCACGAGTATTCTTATAACAAGAACTTAACTGTATAGTAAATTACAATTCACATTCGTATTCATTTCAAGAAATATTTTAACGTTAAGCAACTTTAGAATTAATATTTTTAATTTAGAGACTCAAAATTTTTATAATACTGTAATAAGAAACGGTTCATAATTTGTTATAAATTACCAAAAAGAGAAAGGAAAATCTACAGCACCTTGTTATTCAAATACTTCGATATAGTACAGGGTCACCCTTGTTAAGTACAGTGCCAATCGATACTCCTAAACGGAACTTCTTCAAAAATATTGAACGAAACTGAATTTATTTTGCTCAGTTTTCATTACGTTTCCTGTAATATATAAGGTTTTTGTAATTATTATGTACTTTTAGGCTTTAAAATTTAAATATTTACAGATATTTCTTCCGTATTTAATGCGAAATATCTTCTGAAATTCGTGTTTTAAAAATATTACCATAGAAAACACTGCAGAACTGCGGGCTTAGCTCAGTATAATATGCAAATTTTACCGGATAAACGAGCCGATGGCAAAGCCAGTTTCATTTGAAACCAGTCCATTGTTTCCACGCACAAACGCATAATTGCCGTAACCGTTTGTCTGTCGCAGTTTTTTCTTACATATTTGGTTTAATGTCTTTATGAAACAATAAATTTGATTATCGGTAGGAAGGTATGAACCATCATATTAGAGTATTTAACGAAAAATTAAAGATAATTTCTCAAATTATAGATAAAATTATATATAATATATGCCAATAGATGGCACTAGATAACTATACCTACAGATAAATCTATTGACAGGATTTATAATTTATATTAAAAGTCTTTGTAATTTCGGTATTAAAATTAAATTAACTTTTATTTTTTAAAAATTGTTTTCTAGATTTTATTCATTCGTTTAGTTTTTGCTTTTCTCTTCTTCCAAATTGTAATAAATGGAAAAATGAATAAAACAAACAGCTATAATACCAAAGTGAACATTTTATTTTGACCGAGACGTTGATAAATTAAATGTTTTTGATACATAGGCTGGCTGAGAAGTTAGTTAACAATTATAGAGACCATCTAATTCCTCAAAAAACAAAAACAAAAAAACCAGTTAACTGTCTTTTGAATCTAATTTTAATTTTAATCTAATTATTTTGTAGACCACAATGTCTACAAAATAAAAATTAATATGTAATAATGAAAACAATATAAAGATTACCTGCTTGAACGTAAAATACGTTTTGAATGAACTCGCTACATTAATTAATGTTGAGCCAAAGCACACCAGTGACAACTTCAAGACGTTCATCCACTACTACCACAGTTCTGCACTATACACACAGTTGAGTACAATATGTGTACACAGTAGTGATATTCGAAATATTTAACAAAGAGTTCGCTAACAGAAAATTTTTCCTTAACAATTTTTTTTTTTCGCTCAAATGGTGCATTAGCAACATTAGCGCAAAAACTGACCTTAAGATACCCATATAAATAAAAAAGTTGTTTTTGCAAAATTAAGTCAGTTAAAATTTAACATTGTTTATGCCAGAACTATATTATATTTTTGATAAATAATAAAAAAAAAGTGTTCAAAATGGTTTATTTTGTACATATTTTAATATTTTTCATTCAAAATATTTTATAAACATAAAAATTGGCTTTTTTTTTAATCAGAAAAAGTCATAGGGAAAGCAGTTAAACAAGAAAAACTTTTCTAAATCATTTATTTTATCGTTAGGTATTATTATAATAATAGACAGATGTCATCGTCTCTCGAAATACAATATCTTTCTTATTTCGCTGTTGATAGCTC